TCCATACTATTGAGAAAAATATGTTAATTATAGATAATTTGAATATAACAAAGTATCAATTATATAGATTTTAACATACAGATTCACAATATCTTATTCAATTATAAATTAATAATGAATATCAATATGTAAAGTTAATTTATTTATTAACATATGAAATATTAGAAAAATATAAATAATTTATATGTAAAATGAATAAGCATAGAACATGAGTAAGAATTGGTTTCATTAATAACAGCTAAATAACAACTGTTATTAATAAATAAACAATTAATAATTTATTTAAACAATAAGCTATATATAGAACGAAAATATTAAGTTAATACTTGATAATGATAATTTTATGATTTAGAAATCTGAGATAATTAATCTAATAATCGCATATTAAGATTAGAAGAAAACCGTTACAAATATGAAAAATTAGTCATAATTCAAATGTTATTAATTAATTTAAATAATTAATTTTGTAAAATACTTCCAAAATTAATCAACTATAAAGTTATATGAAATTTTAATAATTTTCTATTGTAAATAATGTAATATCACGTTAATTAACTTTATTAGTTAATAACTTTTGACGACACTATTGGCGATAATTGTATATTGTATAAAATCAACAAATAACTAATTCTGTAAAATTTACATGTGTTAAAAACTTAATATTAATGGTTATTTATTTGTAAATTAAGAAAAATCATTTCTCAAAATTCGCGAATGTCTCTCGAATTTTCGATGAAATCTCTCTCCTGCAATAATAAGCGGGAAAATCTATGTATAAATAGGCCCACCTTTGCACAGGCTAGATTCATTCACTTCTAGCCTTGCAAGGTGAGCGCATGAGTCTGAATAAACTTGGCTTAATATCTAAGTTCTTTCTCTCATTGTGATTAACTAAGCAAGACTATCCTTTCCTTATAATTTGAGCTCGACTTATAGAACATCTCGCGCTATAAGAAACTTGGGCCGAATTATATCCTATCAAAGAAAGACTTTAGCTCTGCTTATGGCACAATTCGCACCATAAGATACTAGGGCATTGTCTGACTTTCCTCGATATATTGCAATTATTTATGTATATTTGATTTACTTATTTATTATATTTGATTCATTTATCTATTTTCTTGACAATTAGAGTAAAATCATTGGAAATAAATTCTTACTCATTAGCTAGATTACGAGAGTTCGAATTATTTTATTTATAAGGGATACGAATATCACAAGCAAGAGCGCGAAGGAAACGCACAACTCCTTATGAGTTGCTAATTGTTACCCGTGTTTCCATTACTTAAGCAAATATTATCGTACAATATAAAAACACGCAATACAAATAAACAAATTACACGCAGTAGACAAAACACATTACAATGTGTACCTACAATACCAACTTAAATTACACAATTATCAAAGAGATTTCCATTTTCGCTTGCACTTTTCATGCTCGTAAAACTGTCGAAAGTTTTTATGATCGCTAATAGTAGTAAAACGCTCGAGTTTTCTTTAATTGCTGAATCGTACCGTTAGACTATTTTTCGGCGACACGTGTGAGACAGAAACGAGATAAACACGGACCGTAGGCAATAAATTATTAAGAGAGACAAAAAAGGGAAAGATGATGGTCAGTCTCCGCGGTCGAGCTATGCCGTTTCTTAGGGATTACCGACGCATACCATTGAAACAAAGCCTCTATTGGGTTTTTCTGACATGCATAAAACTCGATCCGGAACACCTATGTAATTGATGTCTCCTTAAGTTATCCTATAGAATTTGGTTGTTGAATTGGATTACTAGAGACTGATTTTGGTTTATTTGAAATTATTTTATTACTGTTATCTTCAGTTATTTTGTCTATTACATCAAAGATAGTTTTAATTGGTTTTTATTTTATTTTGTCTTTTGCTATTGTAGTTTCAGATTCGGACTGAGAAGCTTTTACAAATTTTATTGGCATAAAACCCTTGTGAAAGGGCGTATTAAAGTTGTATTTTTTCTGTTTATGTGAATCTGATAGTTGCTTATAGTAATCATCGAATTCATTTCCCATATTAATGATTTTGTTTAAGTTTTTGATGGATGTACATTGTATTTATTATAATTAAAGTTTGTTAATCTGTTGTGGGATCTATTGTAATATAATTTAGTAGTATAGCAATGTATGTTCCAGCACACCTGCGGGGGGTCTGTAACCCTTTGACCCCACCGGGCTTAACCCTTTGGACCCCCTGGCTATGTTAATAATAATTATTATTGTTAACAATTATTATTAACAATATTCGTGGGGGGTCCCTTGGTTTAACCCTTTGATTCCCTGACCTCTATCCCTTCTATGTTAATTATTATTATTATTAATGTTAATAATTGTTTATAATTTTTGAGGAAGGTTTCTAGGGCTCCTAGTCCCTAGGGCTCCTAGTCCCTAGGGACCCTATACCTAGTGCTTTTAGTCTAATTAAAGGGTCTAGCAGGGTAAAATGGTCAAAAATGCCTTTGAGTCATCCGGGAAAATAATTATATCCCCATGTTCAGCATGAAAAATGACTAGGATTCCCAGATTTTCAGACCCCTAAACCCATACAGGTCCCTATAAGGCCCAGTTTTGTCATTTTTGGTTTTTTGACCAAATCTCGGTCAGTTTTTGAGCTAGAAAAATCTTTCTTGTTTTAAATTGTAGGGTTTGTAAAGCCCTATAAAATGGCCGCGCTCAAAAAATTTTTGGCGCGAAATTCAAATTTTTAGAGCCGTTCAAAAATTTTAAAATTTAATATTTCGAAAATGAAGACCGACTCTTTGCTAGAAAAAAAATATGTTGTGTATTTTTGACTGAAAAATGTTCCTGATTTTTTTCAAATTTTTAAAAGTGGTGGAACGACCTTAAAAAAAATAAAAATCAACAAAAAACCTAGTTTTTCTCCCCTAGCGCTTTGTAGGTTAAATCTATGATGAAACAAATAGCACCATCAAATTCTGCGGAAAAAAATACATCGAAAACATGTATCACATGTATGGAAAAAATCAAAATCCTTCACAAATTCAGTACATGATAGCATCGGCCATGCCGATCGGCTCCACTGGCAGTGTAAATATTTATTCCTTTTCGATTCAAGGTCAACTCAAGATTGTTTTCGAACATGTGATACATGTTTTCGATGTATTTTTTTCCGTAGAATACGATGGTGCTATTGGTTTTTTCATAAAATTGACCTCATGAGCGCTAGAAGTTAAAAACTAGAAAAAAATCAAGTTTTTCGCGTCTTTGGTTGAGTTTTATGAAAAAACTCAGTAGCACTATCGTATTTTACGTGAAAAAATACATCGAAAAAGTGTATCACATTTTTTTATAATATATAAGACCTCAATAACACCGTATCATAGTTACAATGCGTTTAATGTTGTATTATCGATTATTTTACTTGATTGGCATTTATAGTAAGCTTTTTTACTTGAATACTGTAGGGTAAAAATAGATTGCGCAGGTGGGGCTATAATACAGGATATTTGACTATTTCTGAAATAGAAATTGTTTTTTCCACAGGTATGTATGTTTTATTAACTTCACGGTTACAATCTCATATGCATTAAATCATTATTTTTACAAAACATGAGTAAGTGTGTGCATGTGTGTCAAATATATGTGATATAATATAATGTTTACAATTTTAGATACTTCTGGTTTAGTTCTTATACGCCAACTTATTTTGCTCAAAATCTTTCAAGCAATGGTCAAGTTATTATCACTTTTGCCATCACACCAAGCCGTGCCCTATATGCCGAAAGTGATATTTCCGTCTCGGAAACATAATAATTAAAATTAATTTTTTTCTTATTTTTGGTAATTTTTTCTATTTACGGAACTTTCGTTTTAATTTTATTAGTTACGGTATTGCTTACGACATGGAAAAAAGTTTATTTAAAATAAACCAGAAAAAACTTCCTAATTCTAAATCACATGAATCGATTATTGACATCGACATTTTTTTTGCAAATGCATTGATCTAGCGTGATCAGAGGTAAATCAATGTCAATAGTGAATCACTTGCCAATGAAAATAAATTCAAAGCTAACGATTTGCTGAGCATGTCTTTTTCATCATTAAATATTCTATCGGAGGTTCCTGAAAAGATCAATCTACATTGTTCATATTAACATTGTAACGTAGTGGATTTACAAAGTCGGTTAGTGGCATACAAATATCTAATGCGGTTGAAGTGCTTCTAAAACAAAAATATTAGTATTGCATTAAAAAATAGTGATTAATGGTTTGATTTAAAAATAAATAGTGTATTAATTAAGTAGAGTTACAGAAAATAACGATTTTTATTCACTCCAACAGAATGAAATGACTCTGAATTTTTTCTATCATTCAACGAACATTTAAAAAAGATTATGACCTGACATTAGTTGGCGTATGATTTTCTTACATTCATAAAATAAATTATTCATTAATATTTTTAATTATAATGTTCTGCATTATTTCAAATTATGTAATAATTTTTGTTTTTCACAACGAAAGAGTTCATATAATTACAAAAATTTTTAAATAATGAGTGTGATTTGAATACTCGAAAATTGGAATTATTTTTGCTGGATTGAAAATAATAATAACATTTTATTATAAAACAGTGAGTTCATTTTAGAACCAAACATTTAGTGATTTCTAATATATCTATATGCATAAAATCAAATCTTTACTTAACATATATTGCCAATGAAGTAAACACTTTATCCCCACGTTATTACTCTTTATTATCACATTAGATCAATTGTTCTTTAGAATTTTTTTGTGTTTTTTTCTAAATAAACTATTCTATCTCACAAGCTAATACTGCAACTGATAAAATTAAAATAAAAGTTCCTTAAAAATAAAAAATATCTAAAAAACGAAAAAAATCAATTATAATTACTTTTTTACAAACATTGCCAAATGTATTTAACATTTCAAAATTTTCTCTTCCAAATAATGACATTATTGATGAACTCCAATGTATTTTTTCCAGAATGTCACTATGTCAGCCTCAGGTATTGGTAAAAAATGCGCTTGCTGCGGTTTACCAGAGAAAAAATTAGTGGGACCCAAACAAACTGTTGACACAGATGATGAAGCTTATACTTTGTCCGATTATTTGGCTGTGACACTTGTAATGGGAGACATACTTTGTCAGAAATGCAGTGGTTCTGCCCGCTTCGCCAAAGCAAAACGCAGAAAAATCGATCAACCACAAAATGTAAATACTTTGCAAATCGACAGTCAAGGGTCAACATCTTCTTCAGAGACATTATCGCAACCACATAATGATACAGTTTATGTTCCACCAAAGAAAAAAGTTATTGAAAAAGCAAAAGATACTATTGAGTTACCTTTAAAAAGAGTAGTTTCTACTCATGATTACTGTTGTTTATGCAAAAGCAAAACAAATATTGTTATTGTTCCTTTCGATGCAAGAAAACAAGCTTTTGTTGAAAGAGATATATTCATACCAGAGGGTAATAGATGTTGCCGAAAACACTTAATAAAGAAAAGATTTTATTCAGATGAGTTAATTAATTTAAAAGTAGTTTCTAATTCAACTACCACAACAGCTGCAGATATAACAAAACTATTTAAATCTTTGAGTTTAACTTCCGACAGAGAATTACACGATAGAATCGGAGATTTTTCAATCTCTGAAGAGAGGATTCGTACGTTTACTGGATTGAATTGGGAACAACTAATAAAATTGCGAGAAATGATGGTTTCGTTGAGGAATACCGACAATCGGACTGTTACGCAAGCTGTTGTTGTTTTTTTGTTCAGATTACGAACAGGAAACTCAAATGAGATAATCTGTTCTGTTCTCGGCCTTGATCGTCATCAGCAAGTCTCTGAATTTTCAAAGTCTGTGTTAAGTGCCTTTGAAAAAGATGTATTGCCTTCACGCTTTGGTTTACAAGCCGTCAATCGAGAGAACTTGATTGCTAATAATTCAACGATTCTCCTTCAGAAGTTTCATGGCATAAGTGATAATAATCTTTCGTTAGTTGGCGATGGCACTTATTTGAAGCACCAAAAAAGTTCCAATAACGAATACCAACGAAGATCTTTTTCTGGACATAAGAAAGTTCCTCTATGCAAGCCCTTTACTCTGTGCACTACAACTGGTTTTATTGTTGATGTACTGGGGCCGTTTTATGCTAAAGAAAACGATTCTATGATTTTGGAAAAAATTTTGAAGGCCCACGATAACAATTTAAAGAATTTGATGTGCAAAGAGGGTGATGTTTTTATTCTTGATCGAGGGTTTCGCGATATAAAATCAAAATTAGAAAATGATGGTTATCGGGTCCTCATGCCAGCCTTAAAAGATAAAAATCAGAAACAATTGTCAGCGGAAGATGCAAACAAATCTCGACTTGTTACCATACTTCGTTGGGTGGTGGAAGCGGTACACGGAGCTGTAGCTCAGAAGTATAAGTTTTTCCATAAGCAATTAGATAATCGTTACCTGACTGAAGCTGGTCTTTACTGCAGAATTGTTTGCTTTTTAATTAATCAATTCGGAAAACGAATCGTGTCAAGGGCTTCGACCGATAATGAGATACTCAATTACATTCTTTCAAGAAATTCCAATGAAAATAGTTTAGCAACGGAAGTGATATCAGGAAAATATAGTCGAAGAAAGAGTTTATTCAAAACGTTAAGGTCAGATGAGCTAGAAGATTTTCCTGAAATGACGGAACAGGATCTAGTCAAACTATTCACTGGAACTTACCAACTCAAACAAGCAATATCCTATTTAGCTGAAATGATGGGCGACACGTATGAAATAAATGTAAGTTACTACCGTGAATCTGCTGATCTAATCAAGTTACAAGTGAGATCTAGACATATCGAAAGTAAACAATACAACTGCTATATTCACTACAAACCAAATACCATTGGCTGTGCTGGTATACTGCGTTTTTGCTGTGAGTGTGCTAACGGTATGAGAACAATTGGATGCTGTTCTCACGTGGCTGCCGTTATTTATTATTTAGCGCACGCCAGATTCCAATCTTCCATTGTAAAACCTGCCCAACATCTAACAAAGATTTATGAACAAGATCATGTGGTGGCTGTTATTGAAGCAGATAGTGATGACGATTGATACATGTGGCATGGTTATAGATTATCTCAAAAGAATATTTTTTCTATTTTTGTAAAATGTAAACAAATTATTAAATAATCACAGAAAATTGATATCTCTAGAAATTGTTTGTTGTCTTCTTATTTATTAGTCGCACACTAATCAAGTATACCCTTGAACCATGCTCCAGCTAAAAATGAATCTTTAAAAAAAAATTTTCGTAAGGTTAAAAATAATAGTAACGATAATTTTTCTTATTCGATATTTTTTGAATGAATCGCTCAAAGTAAATCTTAGAATCAAACCAATACCACTATCGTATTTTGTGCCAAAAAATACATTGAAATCATGTATACGTGTATGATGAAAAAAACGTCTGCTCTATTAGACGGATCGATCGGCATAAGACATCATTTTCTTACCTGAACTTGTTAATGATTAATATCCTTACTGAAGTATTAAAAAAAATGTGATACACTTTTTCGATGTATTTTTTCACGTAAAATACGATAGTGCTACTGAGTTTTTTCATAAAACTCAACCAAAGACGCGAAAAACTTGATTTTTTTCTAGTTTTTAACTTCTAGCGCTCATGAGGTCAATTTTATGAAAAAACCAATAGCACCATCGTATTCTACGGAAAAAAATACATCGAAAACATGTATCACATGTTCGAAAACAATCTTGAGTTGACCATGAATCGAAAAGGAATAAATATTTACACTGCCAGTGGAGCCGATCGGCATGGCCGATGCTATCATGTACTGAATTTGTGAAGGATTTTGATTTTTTCCATACATGTGATACGTTTTCGATGTATTTTTTTCCGCAGAATTTGATGGTGCTATTTGTTTCATCATAGATTTAACCTACAAAGCGCTAGGGGAGATAAACTAGGTTTTTTGTTGATTTTTATTTTTTTTAAGGTCGTTCCACCACTTTTAAAAATCTGAAAAAAATCAGGAACATTTTTCAGTCAAAAATACACAACATATTTTTTTTCTAGCAAAGAGTCGGTCTTCATTTTCGAAATATTAAATTTTAAAATTTTTGAACGGCTCTAAAAATTTGAATTTCGCGCCAAAAATTTTTTGAGCACGGCCATTTTATAGGGCTTTACAAACCCTACAATTTAAAACAAGAAAGATTTTTCTAGCTCAAAAACTGATCGAGATTTGGTCAAAAAACCAAAAATGACAAAACTGGGCCTTATAGGGACCTGTATGGGTTTAGGGGTCTGAAAATCTGGGAATCCTAGTCATTTTTCATGCTGAACATGGGGGTATAATTATTTTCCCGGATGACTCAAAGGCATTTTTGACCATTTTACCCTGCTAGACCCTTTAAATGTTTTTTTTTTAAAGTTATAAATATATATATTATTAACAATTTACTTGCTACATTGAGAATGAAACGAATATAGAAAATAGCGACGATTTTTTTTTGAAAAAAATGAAAAGACAGACCGGAGAATCGAACCGGAGTCCTCTGGGTTGGCAGGCTAGCGTTCTACCACTAGAGCCAATGCCACATGTACTTAGAGGATGCATATTGTGTATATTAGCTACACACGCATACATTTGGTATAGGGCCCGAGCGTGCGGAGGAGGAGGGGAGCGCATGCTATCTATAGTTCTGGCCTGATGGGGATGCGCTACTATAGTAGTATTAAATGTATGCTCTCTCTCTCTAGCTCTGACTCAGCGTGGTCCACAGTGCGAGGAGGAGGGGAGCGCATGATCAGCTATGCTTATTAACTACCCTATTATCTTAAGTTAATTATGTCTATCATAAATGTAGATCATAGATGGTTTGAGGGTGCTCAAGCTTCTCTACTACTTTCAGAAAGAGAGAGCATCTATGCTTACTACGTTCCCTCTTATCTTATGTTACCTATGACTATCGCAAATGTAGATCATAGACGGTTTAAGGATGGTCAAACAAAACTCATAGCGCGGACGCGTGACCTGCGTTTAATGTGTTTTTTGCGGATGATCATAAAGTCAGCGGGACGTCAAGATTTATAGTTTTTAGAAAGTGACAAACTTTCTAGCCTACATGGCGTGAGAAAGGGTACACTAAACGTCCTATCTCACTCAAAGAATGTCTACGTTTGTGTGTAGCGTTACATATATTGTAGAAAATTCGTACCTGATAATAGTGTGAGTGTTCAGTAGGATTTTCGTTGGTCAGTCTTAAAGGAAACTTTGAGCGGTTCACAGTGCAGTGCTAATTGTTTATTATTATTTAAACATTAGTAAGTTTAATATTTTTTATAAAGTTCATTAATAAAAAATAAAACAACAACAATGGAAAATATCATCAAAGCGTGTGAGTTTTTAGAAACTGTAAATATAATTTTAAATAATTTAAAAATAATTAAAATAACTTTTATAATTTTTTAATAATATTATTATTCAATTTCAGCTTACCACTTACCAGCTTCCGACCATGCAGAATATGGCAAAAGAGCCGTTGTATCGGCTCTTAATTTTGATATTAATTACCGTAAGTATTTTTTCTCATATATTTATTTATTTATTTATTTATTTATTTATTTATTTATTTATTTATTTATTTATTTATTTATTTATTTATTTATTTATTTATTTATTTATTTATTTATTTATTATTTTCAGTTGCAACGATTTGTGGAGGAGAGCAGTCCTCAAGGACTGCAAATCATACAAATGAAAGCTATGGTTCAACAAGTAAGTATTATTATAAAATTATAACAATTTATATTTTTTATTAATATTTAATTGTGTTATCTCTTTTCAGTGGATCAAGAAATCTATGGCGGCCAGAATGATGGCGCATCAAGTCGCCTATCAAATTGACAAAATTGTCAATGATCGCGTCAATGCAAAACTAGTGCAACATAAGCGTGCGGACGCTATGCGGAGGCAGCAAGAATCCGCTCGATTGGAGCGGAAACGGAAAGCCGCCTTAGCTAAAGCGCAGCAAGACGAACTTGCTGCGAAAGTTAAGCGAAGGCTTTCCAGCATTGCTGCACCATCAACAACAGCCATGGTGAATGAAGGTAATGGGTCATCTTCGAGGCTGTCAACGTCGTCTGTGTCGATGACATTATCATCGTCATCATCAACGTCGAGGACAACATCACCAGCGACGTCAACAGCAACCTCATCGACAGCAACATCCGCAGGCTGTCAAAGAGGAGACAATACTCAAATTGATAAACCACTCGATTTAACCGCTAATGTAAGTAATTAAGTTATACAATGAATTAATAAATTTAAATTAAAAATTAATTATTAAAAAATTTTTTTACAGAAAAAAATTCCGGTGGTAAAAAACGTTGAGTGTGTTCGACGGAAACTAATTTTGATTCCGGCTCAACCAACCATCAGGAAGCCGACTCGCCCCTCTAAGGTCGTCGGGTCCAAAAAAATTAAATAATAATATTAAAAAGAAAAAAAAAATTGTATTTTTAATTTTATAAAAAAAAATAATAAATTAAACTAAAATAAAAAATTAATAATGTTTTAATTTACTTAAGATCTACCAGTGCCCCTACCCCCATTCACCTATTCCACCCACCTACCTACTCTCACCCACTCACCCACCAATATTCATCTACATAGGTTGGTAAGGTAGGATGCTGTAGAAGTTGGTAGGGTATTTAGTAAGCTGTATGATGGTCTCTCTCCTTCTATAGTAGGGAGCATAGTAAGCTTATGCTGGCTAAGTTTGGGCCCTCGGAGAGGGGGTAGCGTCTCTAGCTTGCTAGGTGCGTACGCCGTTTAGTGTGGATGCTATTCTCTCTCTCTCTCTCTCTCTCTCTCTCTCTCTCTCTCTCTCTCTCTCTCTCTCTATGATTATAGGTAGTTTGTATTAAATTCTAACAATATATAGTGTATATGTATATATATATATATATATATATATATATATAATTTTATTTTTTTTATTGAAAAGCATTGTGTACATTGATCATATAATGTCTTGTTAATTTTAAACTAATTTTTTAACATCACCACTAATTGGATTATATTGTACAATACGATCATGTAATATTAAGCAGAAGGCTGCAGTATCTTCAGGAAAATCGGTCCGAGTTTCAAATTCTAGGCGAACATCGACTGGAGCGCTTTTTAATGTTTCATTTTGTTTGGAGCAGTCTATAACTATTAACGGCACTTTATTAATAAAATCCTTTTTATTGAGTAACGGCTCGTTTTCTTTACCATAGTAAGCGTTTTGAAAATTAGTATACATATCGTAGAGAACAGCAAACTGATTTTGATTGATATTTAAATTGATATTTCCATACGGATAGCATTGTGAATTGAGGAATAGCTTCACATTACTAATATTACAATGATCAATATTACTAGAATTAACACTTGCTGAACTTTTACGTTTAGTTTGAAAAGCTAAAATAACAAAGCGAGGCTTTTCCAATTGATTGGAAGTCTTAACACTCCAAACATGCTTTGATGTACGAGGTAATTTTGGATACTCATACATTTCCCAAGTACGATAACTCATAGTAATTGCACGATCTCGTCCAATCTGATTGAGTAATTTGATTTTTTCTTTGTCTGCGACCATCACATATGGCATCAACCATTCAACCTTAGTTAAAGTAATTTTTGATTTTTCTGAAGCATCAGGATTCCTTACTGGAATACTTAAAATAGCATTCAAATCATCTTTTGATCTTGTGAGAATAAGTTCATGCTTGACATTGACTACAATTTTCCGATAATCTTCAGCAAAGCCCAGTAACATACTGAGAGGGACAGTCACATCAAAAAAACCTTGAGCTGAATTGAGTGAAAGCCAATTTTTCATGAGGCTCGTTAAGCCTACATTCTTCACTTTATCAATTTCAATAGCATTTATTTCATATCGTATTTCCTCGAACAAATGACAGAGGGCGTTGTTGACTAATAAAGTGTTCTCCACTGGCGTAGTACCGTCCGACTTGGTCAACCGACCACAAATATGAATCATACTGCGTGATGGAAGCAGAGATAAATCTTGATGTTGAA